TCATGATAAAAATAACTAAAACTGACACAGAACAGAGCTGCAGATTGAACCTGTAACACCCCTCCCACCCCATCCCCCACCCCCATGCACACAAAGCCCTTGAGAAACAAGAGCTTCTGAAGACTCGGGGCTCACTTTTAATGATCCCAAGTTCAAATTCGGATAGTTTGTGAGGTAATTCAGTAGATTATCACACTTAGTAACTACAAGATACTTTGAGGCTAATATTAGAACAATTAACTTACAATTTTTGAAAGGCATAGGCATAAAAATATCATTCATTTTCCTAAGCAGCATTAGTCATTCACTTTGCAGAGGGATGGTTGGGAGGCAAAGCATTTTTAATCTTCAGTCACATATTAGAATCACCCAAGATTCAAATTTAGTTGGTCAAGAATGAGACCCCAACATTTATGAACTTAAAAAGCTCCCTAGTCAATGCCAATGGTCCACCCTGGTTCAGAACACCTGGAACAAACATCAGAATGTCTCGAGGTCATTCACCCCCAGCATATTTACTACTAAACAGAAAAGTGTGCCTATGCCAATGGTTATATTCCTCTACCACCATTCCCTGCATTAGAACTAAATATAGAACTAAATATGTCTTCCAATAGGGGGGCTACTTTTCAAAATAGCAGGCCAGGAGCTCGAGAAAGAATAGATTCTATTCCACCAAATCTTCAGTTTTACAAAAGGCACTCCCTTGCGAGGCACACAACAGAAACGGGGAGGCTCTGATGCTACTGGGGTGCCAAATTACTTTCTCAGTGTCTAGATGTAAGCACTGTTATCCAGCCAGTGAGGAAGGGTAGCTAATACAGGGACCAAAAGCACAGACTCCCTAATACTTTCAAACAGAACAATCACATCTTCTCTAATCAAGTATCTCCTAGGGAAAAAAAGACCTAGAAACTACTGTACTGCACTGTATCTTCATTTTGTTTTTGTTTTTGAGGGGGGAGCAGGATCTCAAATAGTGTAGGCTGACTTTGAATTCCTGATCCTCCTGCCTCTGCCTCTACCTCCCAAAGTCTGAAAGTTGATTTCTATCCTTAACCCCTTCACCCACTTGCTTTGGGTTCTGGTCAATCACTTCTATTTCCTTCATCCAATTTGAAAGGTTGAATAACAGTGCTTAAAACTTATCATGCTTTCTTAACTTTCCAGAGAGAACAAGATTAGATGAAAAACCCATAAGTGAAATGTCTTAGAATTCCAGATAAAGTTTAACTCTAAACAACGGCAAACTAGAGAGGGCTAAAATCTACTGAGCTCAATAAATATAGTCATCCCTTATTATCCTAGGGAGATCTCAGTTCCAGGACAGTCAACCCTAAGGATGCTCAAATCTCTTTCCTATACATAGTATTTGTATAAATCACCCCATGTTAATTCAAATGCCTAATATGACATAAATTATACATGTTACTAGTGTGCTATATTGCCTAGGACAGTGGTTCTCAACCTTCCTAATGCTGTGGCTCTTTAATACAGTTCCTCATGTTATGGTGATCCCCCAACCATAAAATTATTTTCATTGCTACTTCATGATTATAATTTTACAACTGTTATGAATCATAAATGTAAAAATCTGTGTTTTCCAGTGGTCTTAGGCAAGTCCTGTGAAAGGGTTGTTTGATCCGAAAGGGATTAGACCCACAGGTTGAGAACTACTGATCTAGGGACTGACAATAAGCGTGTCCAGTCCCAATGAGATTTTCTTTTCTTTTTTTTATATTGAAGGAAATAAGACTTTATTCTACTCCCAAAAGAAAGTTCCATTTATAATTATGAGATGACTTTATCAGATCCACAGAACAGAATGATAAACCAGGCCACAACAGCCATCCCTTATTGAACATCTGTTATATTCATGCAACTATTCCAATCGATTTGCAAGAATTAATAACTCATTTTATTATCATGCCAGACTACAAGGTAAGGACAATTACAGCTCATTTCACAGATGAACACAATGAAATAAAGACAGAGTAGGTGCTCCACACAAGCCTGTCTCCTCCGCTTTCAGTCTTAGAACCTATGCTCACTGGCATGACTCTGTGTGTATGTGTGTATGTGTGTGTGTGTATCTGTGTGTGTACACAAATGTGAGCATGTTCATATGCATATGTAAATGTTAATGTGGAAGCCAGAGCACTCTGAGGTATCATTATTCTTCAGGGGCTGTCTTTGATGAAACCTCAGCACTAGGATTACAAGTACTGGCTTTTTTTAAAAACATGAGTTGAGGAAATTGAATGAAGTTCATCATGCTCACCTGGTATGCATGTTACTGACTGAGCTACCTCCTCATTCTCCATGAACTTAATGTTAAAATTGTCACAAGAAAGAAATATGAGGTAGTCCCAGAAGAAAGCTGTTTTAGTAGTCAGTAAACAATCCTGAGGGTAATAAGGACAATGGTTTAGGAATAGAAAGAGATATGCAGATCATTTCAGTAGAGGGAATGGAAAGATGATAAGAGTCAGAGGTTTGGAAAGCAGAGACAAATGTCCCAGTTGTCTGTGGGGTGGGGGGTGGAGAAAGAGTGAAGGAAACAGAGAAATTCTTTGTATCTAGGGATTTGAAGCCCAAACTGTAGAATAAGATTCATCTAACAAGTGAAAACACTGATTTTGAACACAGGGAACATATCCTTGTAAACTCTACTTGAAGTCGGAAGTGTAGACTAGAGAATTTAAGAGCTATAGATGTTGGAACACTTGAAGCCAGAGTAGGTCATTGTGGTAGTTTGAATGTAATTGGCCCCCACAGTCTCATAGGGAGTGGCACTATTAGGAGGTGTGGCTATGCTGGAGTGGGTATGGCCTTGTTGGAGGAAGCATGTCACTGTGGAGGTGGGCTTTGAAGTTTCCCATGCTCACGATACTGCCCAGTGTCTCAGTTGACTTCCTGTGGCTTGCAAGATGTAGGACTCTCAGCTACCTCTCCAGTACCATGTCTGCCTGCACACTGCCATGCTCCCCACATGATGATAGTGGACTGGACCTCTCTGAACCTTTGAGCCATCCTAATTAAATATTTTCTTTGTGAGAGTTGCCATGGTCATGGTTTCTCTTCACAGCAATAGAAATCCTCACTAAGACAGACATAGCATCAACAGACACATTTAGTCTTTAAAGCTTGGAAAATAAAATATCAGCTAATGTATTTCTTCTCATTACCTAAGGTGTAACACTTGTATGTTTATTTTATCATCTCTTCTTCTCCTCCTTCAACTCAAACCCAGGGCCTTATGCATGCCAAGCAAGCACTATACCACCAGAGTGCATCTCCCCCTTTCCTCTTTCTCAATGTCCATGTTTATGGCTGTACATTTCCCTCTTAGCATGGCTCTTACTGCATTTTATACATTTGATCATCCTGTGTCCTTCACCCACTTGTTCCAACCTACATTCTAACTTCCTCTGCAATTCCTTCTCTGAGCCAGTGTTTAAGAGTATTCTGCCTTGGGAGTCTCTAGAACACCTTGCTTTTGGTTGCCTGCCAGAACTTGATGGTAAGCCACTACTGCTAAAGATACTTAGCTTTTCAAGTACCTGGAGAAATGAAGTTGATTCGGACCAGGAAGCTTCCTTCAGCTGGAGAGCTTCCATATTACTAAAAGCTATCTGGAGGAATGAAAGTCATCAACAGTCTTACAAAGCTGTGGACCCTGTGAACTACAAAATGATCAGTGTGGCAAGATACTTGCAATAGTGGCACAGATGTAATATGTAGCCAACTGCTTTTTATTGGATTTAAGGCTCTCTCGGAGGAGGAATCATATGTCTAGTGCTCTGCTGAGCTCACAGACCACTGGAGGGAAACCCCTACCATCATCCTGCTTAACAGACAATATCAAACTATCTTCTTAATTTGTGTCTCTCTTCTTGTAGATTTGTGCAGCTCTCAGACCTCATCAGAGAAGTTTCTTTAATGGTGATGGTGGTTATCTCAGAAACTCAAAACTGGCCAAAGTGCAGAGAAAAAGTGTTAGTAGAGTGCTCAGCCACAAATAGGACATGTGTCCCACTCCAATCCCCACTAGGCTCAGGAAGCATTGTGGTGAGGGTTTAGAAAGATTATAAGAGCCAGAGGTTGAGGAAAACTAGAGCAAAATGGTGTCTTCTGGAAAGAACACCACTGTACCCAGAAAGTTACAACATATGTGGGTGCCTGCACAAAACCTGCACATGATCAAACCTTTCAACATTCTAACATCCTAGCATGTAGGAGAAAGGGTTCATGAGATCCACACACTAACTGAGGATCTATGGACCATTGATGGCTTCTGGATAAGGGATGGTCAGTTTTATTTAAGGACTGGTCCCTTGTAGGTGACCACACTCTAGTGGACCTCTCTATATCCATGAGTATATGGACAGCATGAATTCTACTAAATGGGTTATTAACAAAGAAAGTGAACATGAAGTTGGGAGGTGAGGAGGTGTGTGGGAAGAGGTACGCAGGAGATGAGATGAGTATGATTAAAAACATTATTTGAAATTCTCAAAAGAAGAGAGCATGCTATTTAATTTCTACAAATTTGTGGAATCTTTTCAGTTTATTCTGTTATAGATTGCTGGTTTTATTTCATTGAGGTTGGAAAATATACTTTTTTATTATTTCAGTCCTTTGAAATTTATTAGAACTTCTTTTGTTGCCCAATACAAGGTTTATGGTGCACATTTTATGTATATTTGATTATATATATATATATATATATATATATATATATATATATATATATATCACACAACACACACACACACAAATTTTAAAAAATATTTCCCACCCATGGTTGATTAAATCTGCAGATAACCCATTTATACAAAGGGACAACTTTAGTCACTGCTGGATGCCTTGGCTGTTGCTTGTCACTAACCTGTAAGATAGGACTCAGAAGCAAATAATTCAGCCTGATCTCATAGTAACTGGCACAGCACAGGAGACAGAATCTTGGTGAACAGCCCATAGGGAGCCAAGCCACTCACCATGAGAGATGCAGCAGATGAACATACTGGTTCTCAAAGAACTCGTAACTGGAAACAGTGCCTCCCTCGTCTATGGCTTGACCATTCTTATACCAAGTCACCTCTGGCTTGGGCTGACCTGACGATTAAAAAAAAAGAATATGTATTTTCAGAAAGTTATAAAGCTGTAAATGGGAATTAACAAGCCTACTGGGATATGTTAATAAAATACAGAATAAAAAATGCTATCACTAATCATAAGAAACTATTTTTAAAATCAAATTATCCAAAATAGCTGGGTGTTGGTGGAGCACACCTTTGATTCCAGCACTCGGGAGAAAAGAGGCAGGTGGATCTTTGTGAGTTTGAGGCCAGCCTGGTCTGCAGAGAAAATTCCAGGGCAGACTCCAAAGCTACACAGAGAAACCCTGTCTCGAAAAGAAAAAAAAATTATCCAAAATAAAATAATTGTCCAAAACTATGATCCATGGTCAGGGAGATGACTCTGCAGATGAAGGCATTGCCACTAAAATCTGATGGCTGAGTTTGGTTCCTGGATCCCACATGGTGGAAGGAGAGAGCTGACTTCCATAAGTTGGCCTCTGACCTCTGATTTCCAAATACATTCTGTGGTATTTATGTACCCACCCCACACACTAAATAAATAAATAAATAAGAGTAATTAAAATTTAAAGATATGGTCAGCAGTGAGGGTCGATTTGTTTAAAAAATATTCAATAGGCAAAGATACAGGTGGTATTTGATTTTCAGTGTCACATGGGGCCAAAGTCTCGTCCAAGAGCCTTGACCATGGAAAATGAGTTTGTTTTTCTCAGCGATAGGACTGATTAAAATTTCTAGATTCAATGAACTTATGTGTCATCTTGTAGGTTTTATCAAACAGAAATACAAATAATGCCGGTCTAGTAGAAAGATAACACTGTAAGGTTTTGCTGTCCCATATTTAGTAGTGTTGTACCTAACCCAAATGTGTTCTCCTGACATTTTTAAATGCCTATAAATGTGTAGCTTCTCTGGCTTAATATTGCCTAGTTGTTTAATTCATCAATGAGCCAAGCAAAACTTTTGATTGTTAATTTTGTATTTTCACACAGATCACTTTCATTTTTTTTTAAAGATTTATCTTTATTTTTAATTTTATGCCATCCTGAACATGCTCCATGTCCTTTGACCCCAGAAGTTAAGTAAGATTGCGCTTGAATGGGACAAGAACAAAACTTCCATTTTCTTCCTAAAGAGGAAGTCTGGAGTATAAATCTTCTAGACTGGTCTTATGTATTTGTGAATGATGTTATCACAAAAACTGAGTCACCAACACTTCTTCCCTTGGAAGGGTTCACCCCTGTCTGGTAGTCATTAGCTGGGTGTGAATGTTAATAGGCCAATGGAGGAATTTAACCCACACAGTAGGAATTTTGTCTTTCCTGTTACTAGGCAAGAAAGTTTCCAGTGTGTCCCAAAGAGCTTTCTTAACTACTCTATGTGTCACCAAAAATTATCAAATGTGCTGTCTGAACAGGAAGCAAAGTTCAGGGTTGGAAAACAACATGCCGTTCTGAATCCATACCAGAAACAGCCTTGGGTTTTGGTTCTACATTATGTAATTTTTGGCAAGCAACCCAGAGAGCGCCAAAGAAATCCTTATTCTTCCTAGGCTATACAGAATGGGTAGGGAGATAAAGGTCAGGATGCTAAGAGTCAGAAAGACCTGTCCCAGCAGGACCTGAGAACACTCAGGGCCTGGTTCCTTGTCTGCTTGCCAAGGCCTTGTATGTGCTTTTTGGAAGCTGTCGGGATTTCCTACCTTCTCCTCCAGGCAGGTGCCCGAGCAGCTGCCCCAAGACTAAGAACACAGAGGCCCACATGTGAGGACATACCCTCCCCTGCAGCTGCTTGCCTCAACTTCCTATGGGCAGATGTTAAAAGTCAAGAGTAGCTTCCCTGGAAACGGACAGAATAAGAGGCTGTTGGGCTTCATTTCTGCCTGTTACTATTCCCCATCTCAAGCCCCTCACTCAGCCAGCATTCTCTAGCCCCTGCTTAGGAAACAGTGAACTCTTCCTTTTGTGTGTGTGTGGTGGAGGAGGGGTGCTTTTCCTAGAGAAAGTATGTAAAGTGTGTGAGAGCTAGCCCCTGGGACCTTTTGACCTCCAGGCATTCATTCAGAATGATCAGGGCCAGTCACTCTCCTCCAGTTTCCTGATTGCTGCCAGGGTTTTTCCCTGTGCATAGTCTGAGTCTGAACCATCAACCAGAAATGAGACGTGCTTAGGGAAGTGGTATCTTGCACCTTCTGGAAGGTTCTCTTTTCTCCTGGAAACCTCACCTAACCTTTTTCCTTCCTCCCTTTGTTTTCCAATGCTAAGGATGGAACCTGGGGTCTTAAGCATGCTAGACAAGGGTTCTGCCACCCAGCAATACTCCTCCACCCCCAGGCCTCCTCCCCTTGTTTTTGAACCTCTCTGTGAGTCACTGCCTGAACCAATGATCTAGCTACATGGGGGTTCTCCCAGAAGACTCAGGGTCAGCTTGGGTCCCCTTCTTCTGTCTGAATGGTTATCAAAGTGCACTGGGAAGCCGGATCTGGACTTACAGAGACTGAGTGTGGATGGGTACCCCAGCCTCCAGACCAAAGACAAGGTTTCATCTTGACTTCTACAAACAAAGGGTAGTCATTTCTATGGCCACACTCCTCCTCTGAGTTAGGAAGAGAAAGTAAGGGGTAAGTGATTTCTGTCTGTCCTAAGGAAACCCTGTGGGTGTAGTGCTTTTGTGTTTACAAGGGTAGATAGCTATAAAAAAAGCATGGTGATATATTGTTTATGACTTATAAAAGCCACTAGAGATCAAAGTAGCAAAGTGGCCATACTAGTTAGCCATAGAAGCCAGGCACACACCTTTAATCCCAGAGGTAGACAGATCTCTGAGTCCAAGACCACCCTGGGGTACCAAAGAGTGAATCAGAGCTCATACCTTTAATCCCAGCATTAGAGAGGTATAAAATATAGGAGCAGGGTCTTAGTGTCAGTCTCAGGATTCAACTGCCACGTTGAGGAAAGCATAGAAGTCTTGGATTGCAGTCTGAGGTTTTGTAGAGCCAGAACAGCCTTTCAGTCTGAGGGAGAGGGGAAACCTAGAGGCGTCTCTTTCTCTATGGGTCTCTCATCTCTCTCTCCATGTGGTGTATGTGTGTGTGTGTGTGTGTGTGTGTGTGTGTGTGTGTGTGTGTATAGAGTGCCACAGCACATTTGTGGAAGTCTGCATGAGTCAGTTCTCTCCCGCTGTGGGACTCAGGGAACAAACTCAGGCTGTGAGGTTTATACTGCATGTGCTTTTATTGTCTGAGCTTTTCTCTGCTCCCTTACTTTTAATGAAATCCCTTTACCATTGGGCCACTAATACCCAATCATCAGCTCTTAGTGATCTATTTTCCAATCCAGGAGTCATTTCCATCTTCAGCCTTACCTATCTGGGCACCTCTTATTTTAGTTTTAAGTTGTTCTTTGTTTACTAGTGTGCCTGGGGATGGCATCAGTAGGAGGCCAATTGAGCCAGCCTTGGACATTGCTAAAAGCTAACAGAAAAGCTTGATTTTATGAAGTGAAATTATTCAAGCTGTTCCTGGGTGCCACAGACAAGTGAAGAGTAGAGTATCTGAAAATTAGCTGGTAGGAGGGCTATATAACCAAAAGCCACAGCATGGGGTGAAGAAAATCAGTCTGTCCAAAAAGTCACTTGAAAAACAGCCTAGAGGATTGAGTTACTCAGAATAAATGTCTAAGGTAGTTTTCTCAAATGTTGTTTTCATTGTCTTTGAGCCAATAACCCTGGTCTGCAGAGAGGCATGGGGTAGTCTAGGCTGAATAGCAGCTAGGCTACGATGAGCAGAAGTTAGTCTGAGTAGCAACCAGTCTAGGATGAGTGGTGGTTAGTCTAGAGGTCATTACCAGCTATCATGCATCGAAGCACGGCGTCAGACTTCTCCGGAACCTTCTGGGAAAGTAATGTTGATAAAAAACACAGTGTGTGCCTCTGGAGGCAGCCTGGATCTGCCATCCTCTCATGCCACGTGATCTGAAACACAAACAGACCACCATCACTCTATGTTCTGTGACTGCTATGACCTCCTTTGGAATCCCAGGAGCTCTGCTATCCAGCCACAGTTGAGACAGTAGGCAAGTGGAGGGTCCTCAGCAGCCTCCCTGGAGCAGAGAGCTACTGGGATGGTGTGTCATGGGCCCCCCTGACATGTACATCTCAAGACATTTTGCTGTCTCACTGGTCCCCCAGTGCTTTCCCAGCATGCACGAGGTCCTGAGTTCCATCACTAACATCACATAAGCAGTCTGTAATTACAGAGTTCTGGAGGTGTAGACAGGAGGATCAGGAATCCAAGGTTATCCTTGGCTACATGGCAAGTCTGAAGCCAACCTAGGCTGGATGAGATTTTTATCTCAAAACATATAAAGTAAATACATGAGTTTACTTCCCCCAAAAGCAGTTGACCGCATTCAAATAAATCTTTAGGTGGGAGAGATTTAAAATTTGCAAATTACTGACCCTTTGGTATGCCCCAGGGGAGGGAAGAAACTGGGCTTGCATTTTGGAGGAACATGCCTTCTTTGGTAGGCACATGCATAACACACTTGTTAGTCATCAGGTAATGTCAGGTCACCTAATGAATCTTAAATTAACTGAAGAGTGGTTGTCAGAGCCTCTTAGATTGCATACATGAGGAATAGGTGGCTCGGAAAGTTTCATCAACTTGCCGAAGATACCACAGCAAGTGCCTGCTACCACGAGGCAGCCTGCCTTCAGGACTTGTGCAGGCTGACACTGGAACAACAGGGGTCCCAGCTTGCACAGCTCTATGGCAACCCTGAGAATGCAGTGGGTCTGAAGCCAAAGGACTTGTTTTTCCTATTCTACCTACAGACAGGTGTCAGCATCTCCCACCAAAGTTGTCCTTCTGAGAGGCCTGAGTTTTGAAATCACAACTAAGTCTATCCAAACAGTAGGAGTCCGCTTCCCCTTTCAACCCCCAAACACCACGGAGCTCTGAAAGAGGGCAAGAACCGCAGTAATGTGGCGAGCAAGAATGGAGAAGAGGGGATTAGAAACTGTAAATGGACAGTCTAGGGGGTGCTGGGACCATAGACAGCCTGGATGTCAGCCTCTGAACCATTAACACCCATCCAGTTTCTGCCCTTTCTTCTTACTTTTCCAGACTGTCTAGTCCCCTGAGAGATGGCTACCAGAGAAAGGCTCCCTAGCATTAGCCAAAGGTCTCATTAACACCCACATAATATTTGATGAGCAGGATTGAAGAGAGAACAAGTCCAGGGGACTTCACAGTGTGGAAGGACCTTCACTTCATTGGCAGGACCCAGCTCTGGAAGACCCAGGGACTCCCTGGCCAAGTAGGACCAGGATTTAGGATGGTGACAGCAGAATGTCACACTAACAAAAGGCTCTTTTGACTTTGGTATGTAGACCTAGATCTGGGCTCCTGTGTGACCCTACCTAATAGACACTCCTGAGTATTCTGCTCATAAGGGCTGGACATTCCACTACTCATGAATGCCTGCTGAGGCCTCTCCAGCTATTGTTGAGATTTGCAATGTCTCCTTCCCTTTAAGATGTTGTTTAGTCTAGAATAAGGTGAGCCCCTGACAAAATTGCCTCTGCATGAAAACCCTTCACTCTCTGTGCATCCAGGAAAAGACATTCATTTAAGAGAACTTGCTGTCATCTTTCCTCCATGTGTTGCAGGAAGCAAGTCTGTGCTTAAGCCTGAGGTTCCACAGCCAAGAACATTTACACTGGAAGAGAACTTTGACATGCCTAGTGGCTGCTAGGACCTGTTACAGGAAGTGAGAAAGGTTTGAAGAAAGGAATGAGTCCTTTGGGGATTTGGTAAGAGAGATGCAACTTCATTTCCAATATTTTGGATTACAGGACTTCTATAAACATGGATGTGGGGTACCTGAAGCATCAGGGGGTTCCTGAGTGACCCATTATATTTAACTCATATAAGAGTTGGATGAACCCATCTCGGTGTATATGGTAAAGTATTTGTACAGGACAAGAAGAAAATTCTCCATTCTAGATTACCTTACAAATACATCTGGGGGCTGAGGAGTTTGACCCATTGTCACAAAGCCCATATTTAATTTGTATCTATCAGCCTTACCTCACTTTTCTGATTGCATTACTACCAGGGCCATCCTGAGATACCAAGATCCGAAGATGCTCAAGTCCTTTATGTAAAATGATCTAGTGTTTACACATAACTTATGTGCATCCTTTCACACTTTGAACCATCTCTGGATTACCTACAGTGCCCAGTATGCCACAGATGCTATGTAAAAAGTAGTTAGGAAGTCTCATTTAGGGAATGGCAGGGGGAAAGTCTACTTTTCCAGCACATATAAAATTTTATTCCAAAGTAACTTTAACCTAAAGGTGGTTAAACCCACAGACGTGAAATCTATAGCTATGTCTCAGAGATCACAGCGATGTGAAATTGGATTTTCCAACTACATAGAAAGAAGTACCTTTAAAAGCTTCAAAATTTTTTGAATTTTGAAAATTCTCATAACTTGTCTTTTATGAGAAAGAAAATGAATGAAGGAAACTTGAGAAAAAAAGAAAAGGAAAAGAAAACTTGAAGGCAAAAGTGTAGCTCAATGGTTGAATATTTGCCTGTCATATGAGAGACCGTGGCTCTGATCCCCAACACAGGAAGACAGAAACAAAAGAAAAGACGGGAGGGAGGAGGGGAGAGAGAAAGGAGCAAGAGAGACAGAGATAGAGAGGGAGGGGGCATTGTCAAGACATAGTAACGAACAGTCCAGAATAACTACAGATCCAAGAAAAGTGAGAGGGAACGCACGGGTCCCCCTCGAGCTGCTGAGAGGACCCACCTTTGCGGAACAAGTAAAACAGCTCTTCAACAGCAGTATAGCTGTTCCTTACTAGAGTTCAAGTTGGTCATAGAAGCCAGAGCTATGGATTTGGGTTGAGATTTTTGGGAGGTTTTATTTGTTTGTTTTCGTTTTGTTTTTCAGGGTTTTGTTTTTTGTTTTTGTTTTTCAAGATAGGGTTTCTCTGTGTAACAGCCCTGGCTGCCCTGAAACTCTGTAGACCAAGCTGGCTTTGAACTCACAGAGCTCTGCCTGCCTCTACCTCCTGAGTGCTAGGACTAAAGGCGTGTGCCACCAGCAAAAACAACAACAACAAATTTTATGGTATTTTGCAATAGTATAGCAAATTCCATGCAGGGAAGTAACAAGGTTTGCCAAACCTATGGACTTGTGGCTTCAAGTTGGAAATGACACCTCTTGTGACTTATTGACCTGGAGTGATATTTAAACACATCTGTAATGAGATAATTAATATACCACATACTTCACCCACTGAAAAGTTATGACTCCATGACTTTCATTATAACTGGCTTGTGCAACCATCATCACCACGATCAATTTTACAATGTGCCATTACCCCAAAAGAAACCTCATATCTCCCCATCTCCATGCCAGTCCTAGTCCACACAGCCTTCAGTAACCACTACGCTGTGTTCTATTTCCATGGATTTGCCCCTTCTGGAAACTTCCTGAATCTTCCACTTAGCATAATATCATCGAGTTTGTCCACATTGTAATGCATGCTGATGAATGTCATTACCTTTTCAGGCTAGTCTGAAATACTTGTTGGGCATTCCTGTTGGCAATAAGATGACTGACTACCTTGGCTCTCCACATTCCTACAAACTTACTCAATGAATCTGGGGGAATCTCAGAGCTGGAAAATGCTTTCCTAGACGGTCAGGAACAAAGGTAGACACAGCTCTGTCACTTACCCAGGCAAAGTATCAGGCCTAGTTCCTAGCCCGGCCGCCAAAAAGTGGTAACCATATAAGGATCAGCTGCCTCCTAAGACTGTTACATGATTAGTTGATGAAATAGTATCTGGAAGCTCTCCAGTAAGACTCTTTTTCACAAGTTTCCTTTTCTGCTGTGGGTTTCCACAGTGCTGCTGCTGTTTTTAAAGTGATATGCCCATGAACTGGTAAACACGACTCCTGGAGTAACACTCATTGGGAAAGTAATTTGCAGAGCAAGTTTCCTCCCACTCTTATTCCTAGGACCACTACTGTGGGTTGAATGGAAAGAAAGGGCTCACGACGCTAGACTGGTAGCAAGGCCCCTGTGTATCAGCTGCAACTCCTCTATAGGTGACCACTTCCTGTCAGTGTTGTCCCACACGTGAAAACACTGACAGTGTGTTTGACTCATGAGGTTGGGTTAGTTACCACGAGTCTCAGCCACTGGGCACTGACTGTTCCCTGAAGGAAAAGGACAGTTAAGTCAGGCTGTGGTTCATGTTTCGTGGCTTCTCTGAAGGTGAGAATGACACATTTATCGGTCTATGCTAGAGATGACAAATGGACACAGTGTGCTAGAGGTGACAAGTTAATGCTAAATTACTGACATTGGTGGAGGAAGTCCTAGGTGAGCTTCAAAACTAACCTAAAAAAGGCGTGTTAACCCATAAGAACATCAGATTTTTAATCCCTCCCATTTTCCTTTCTTTTTCCTGTATGGTTCTGGGCCAGTTTCCTACGTTTAAAAAATGAAACAAGAGGTTGTGACTTTGGGGGATCTGTGAGGCATGGAAGGAGTTGGAGGGGGAAGAGGGAGGGGTAGAAATAATGTAAACATAGTACTAGTTACACTTTTATAAAGATCTTATGAATGGGTAGGGAGGGTCAACATGTAGAGACTTAAGAGAACAGAGGTCTGGGCCCTCTCTCCGACTAATGTGGTTTGATCAAGCCAGACCCCCTGAAACAGAGTTCCAGGTGATCCAACATTCAAAACAGCTTGGACAGAGCAGCCTTGCAGACTACAGCCAAGATTTCTGTGTCTTCTTAGGATCCCCAATGACAGTGCCCCCTACCAGCAGGAAGCAGTTTGGAAAGAACAAAGCCCAAATTCCCAAATATTGTCTATATATATGTTTGTTTTCATTTATATGGGGTTGGTTATAAATGGCTAATGACCACAACCATT